TATCTCTGTAGGGGCGGGGCTGTGCCTGCAGAGGTTGAGGTCTACTCAGGCACTGAGGATAGGGCATCAGGGACAAAGTGAAGCTACAATGGGGGAACACCAGGCTGAGCTGGTGGTCTGGGCTGCTCGGAGAGCAGGCTGCAGGTGCAGGGGTTACAGGGGATGCCCTGGGCTAGGAGGAGCGAAGGGGTGAGTCCACCAAGGGCCGAGGGGCCGTGACGGTGAAGCCGCATGGGGTGCCTAGTGGAGCTGCAGGCCAAGTCCCAGGGTGGAGTGACCTGGTGGGACCGAGCATGGGGCACGCGGGCAGAACTGCACACAGAGTCGTGGAGGTCAGACCCTCGGGCACATCCACACCCCTCCCTGTTCTGGCCTGCCAGAGCCAGAGCCACAGCCCCGGGATGGGAAGCAGGCACAGAGAAGCAAAGCTGCACCCCCTTCCAGCCCTCACCACCGTCCAGTCCCCTCCGGGCTGAGCCTGGGCCTGGGCCTGGGCGTGGCGGGACCCCCCTCCAGGCTGAGCCTGGGCTGGGGCGGTCCTGGGCAGGCTGGGCCTGCAGGACACCCGGCAGGCTGGAGCGGGGCTGCGTGGGCAGGGGCTCCGGCCTCCTGCCCCCTGCGACCCTCACGCCCCGCAGATCTTCCACATGACCTACGACCTGGCCAGCGCCGTCATGCGCATCTGCAACCTCATCAGCATGATGCTGCTGCTCTGCCACTGGGACGGCTGCCTGCAGTTCCTGGTGCCGATGCTGCAGGACTTCCCCAGCGACTGCTGGGTGTCCATCAACAAGATGGTGGTGAGTGCCCCGGCCAGGGCCCGGCGAGGGGTCCTGCGTGCCCCTGCCCCGTCCGAGGCCAGCACCCCTCACGGCCACGCCCTCCTGCCCTGGGCCGGGGCACGTGTGGGACCCAGGATGTTGGGGCACCACGTGACCTGGTCACACTGGGCCTGATGGGTCAGGAGCTGCAGAGGGAAAACCCGCAGGGCCCGTCCCGGCGCCTGGCACAGCTGCCCGGGCTGAGGCGGCCCTTTGTCCGGCCAGGCGCCTGCTGCCCCACTTCCTGAGCGGCCGTCGCCCCTCCCGGCGGGGTCAGCCAAGGACCCAGGACGGGACCTCTGGGGCACTGGGGCCTCTGCCTGGCTTTCCCCGGGGCCCTTGAACTGCGGCCTCGTGGCCCTGGCCAGGGGCTGCAGAGAGCTGGGGTGACCCTGCAGGGTGGGAAAGAGCGAACCCTCTGCCATGGGCTCAGCCCGGCACGTGTGCCCAAGGCCCGGCTCCTGGTCCCTGCAGACGCGGGAGCTGGGGCGAGAGGCAGGGGAGGGCAGGCCCGGCCCACCGCCCACGCCTGCCGCCCGCCTTACAGAACCACTCCTGGAGCGAGCTGTACTCGTTTGCGCTGTTCAAGGCCATGAGCCACATGCTGTGCATCGGCTACGGCCGGCAGGCGCCTGAGAGCATGACCGACATCTGGCTCACCATGCTCAGCATGATCGTGGGCGCCACCTGCTACGCCATGTTCATCGGCCATGCCACCGCCCTCATCCAGTCGCTGGACTCCTCGCGGCGCCAGTACCAGGAGAAGGTCCGCCGGGGGGGCTGGGGCAGAGGCTGGCCACGGTGCGGGCCAGGGGCATCTGAGGACAAGATGGCGGGGCCTCGGAGCGAGGCTCAGGGAGGGCGAGACCCCCGGCCTCTCGAGGACCGGGCCAGGGGCCATGGTCACGTCCGCGCTGTGTGCCTCAGTGTGCCCACGCCAAGGGCGCTCCGGATGCTGCCACTGGCCGCGCCTGGAACTGTGACCCACCCCGCCCCCACAGCGCCAGCCGGGCTGGCCGGGTCAGCTGGGCCCCGTGCCAGGCACCCTGGCTGTCCGGAAGCCATGGGCCGCACACCCAAACATGAGCTGGTGCTGCCACCCGCCCGCCGTCACGGGATCTGCTGAGCTCAGGGCAGCTGCAGCCAGGCGGGGCTGGGCGCTGTGAGGGTGCCGTCCTGGGGACAGCAGGGCCCGGCACCCACACCCCTGCTCTGCTCGGGAGGGGCTGGCCTGGGGCTTCTGGAAGGACCATCAGGGAGCGAGCCAGGCCCAGCCGCAGGGTCAGGGGCTGGGGACGGTACTCGGGCAGTCTGGCCTAGCCTCAGGTCAGAAGCCTCCCCCTCAGCATCTGGCTGGTCCCCTGCTTCTAGGGCCAGGTTACAAATAAGACTCGGGGTGTTCGTGTTTGCCAGGAAGACAGAGACAGAGAAGTCATCCCTAGGGGGCGGCCTCGCCACAATCCCTCCCTCCACTCTGCGGGATTCGGGGCATGCACGCACACATGCCCAGCATGCTTTTCAAGCTGAGGCTCGAACCGCACAGGTGGCCATGCGGGATGCAGCTGCCCTAACCTCCATGCCGCCTGCTGGCCCCAGTGCAGCTGCTTAGTGTGACTACACCCGCGGCTTTGCCGGGGATAACTCACAGTTGTCTGCCCTCCCGACCTGCAGCTCGGACGGGGCAACCTCCAGGTCACCAAGTCGTATCGTGGCCATTATTACTATCATTCAGTTTGCCAGAGGCTGTGTGCTCCCTGGAGAGACAGAGAGGGAAAGGGTGACAGCAGCCTTCGGGGGCCGGCCACGGAACCCCTGATCCCCTCCCTTCGGGGTTTTGGGCGTGCACACACTGGGCCCAGGCCTCCAGCCAGGCCGGCAGCGCGTGGGTCGGGCTGGCTACGACGGAAGGCCCGCGGTCCCCACCCTGACCGGGCCGTCCACCCACAGTACAAGCAGGTGGAGCAGTACATGTCCTTCCACAAGCTGCCGGCCGACTTCCGCCAGCGGATCCATGACTACTACGAGCACCGCTACCAGGGCAAGATGTTCGACGAGGACAGCATCCTCGGGGAGCTGAGCGGGCCCCTGCGGGAGGTGAGAACCGCCCCCGCGCTCCGCGGCCCCCCGACCTCGGCCAGGCAGAGGCAGGTGGCCGCAAGGGACAACGAGGTCCCCAGCCGCAGCAGCCGGCACCACCAGCTGGGCGTCCTAAACCGACCGGGCTGTGCTGGAGGCCAGGAGTCAGACGGGGGCCAGGCCTCCAGGGCAGGGTCCTCCAGCCTTCCCAGCCCGTGGGTCCCCACATCCCTGGGCTGGGTCCTGGCTTCCGCCTTCACGGCACCTCTGTCTCTACCTTCACATATCTTTTATTTTTTCAAGAAGTTTTTAACCATAGGGCATGTGCGCTCAGGAGAGAGAGACAGAGACAGAGGGGGATGGCCACGCTGCGCCGCAATGCCTTCTCCCCCATTCTCCTCCTGGGGTCTGGGGCACGCACACACGCCCAGCGTGAGTTTCAAGCCACCAGGTTTGAGACGCAAACCACGGCCCGCTGTCTGGTATGACAGTGTAACAGCACCCCCACTTCTGGCTCACGTCTCAGAAATGTGCTGCCGTAGCGGCCCACCCTACTCTGGGGCCACCCGTCTTAACTGGCCACCTGCCTAGCGGGCGCTCACACAGAGCAAGCGTGTGCGGTCCTTCTGAGCGCCTGCAGCGGCTGTGCTCCCCGCCCTTCAGCCCGCCGCTGGTGGGCGGCCGGGCCGCGCTCGTGCGTGTCTGCACGTGAGACGCACCATCTGCGGCGCTGGGTGGGCTGCTGGGTTTGGCCGCTGGAACGCGAGCCTTGGGTGCACTGAGGGGGCCCTGCTCCCGCTGAGGCTCCCACCAGCAGGCCAGGAGTTGGGCTCAAGCACGGCCCACCCTCTGGCCTATGACCAGGCCCCTTTGCACCCTGCTTTCTGGGGGCTGTCCCTACCCTTTCCTGTTTCTCTGACCTCTTTCTAGAAGCGCTTTAGGAGAGGACACACACGTCCTGTGATGGTCTCCTCTCTGGGCCAGGTTCTCGGGTGCACTTGGCTACACAGGCGGTGCCCGCTGCCCTGTGCAGGGCGGGGCTCTCGTGCTCCCTCACACCGCGGGGGCCTCCCATGTGCGTGCCACGCTTACTTTGGTAGTGCTGAGGGTATGTACACTCGCGAGACACAGAACGAGGGGGAGTGAGAAACCACCCTCCACGGGTTGTGGCCACGCCGCAGCCCCTTCTCTTGGGACCTTGTGGACACGCACATGCCCAGCGTAATTTTCAAGCTCCTGGGTCCAGGACTCAAACCGCACAGTCGGCCGTGTGGGAGCCAGCCTCCTTAACCACCAGACCACCTGCTGGTTCCGTTTTGTTCTTTTTCTTCTTTTAGAGAGATTTTCGCTACAGGGCACGTACGTGTGCTGCAGGCACAGTGAGACAGAAAGTGAGAGCTCACCCTGAGGGGAGTCCAGTTCCTTCCCTGTCTCTCGGGACCCTGGGCACACGTGCGCATGCGCCCAGCGTGCTTCAGGCCCCCGGGTGCAGGACTCAGACTGCAGCCGTGTGGGCGTCCAGGACCCTAGCCAGCACGCCACTTGCTGGCCCGTTTTGGTGTTTCTTTCCTTCAGTTTTTGCCATAGGGCAAAACTTGCTGAAGAGGAGAGAGACAGAGAAGTGATGCTCACCCGGGGGTGGCCACACTGCAGTCCCTTCTCCTGGAACTTTGGGCACACACAGCTGCCAGGTCCAGGACTCGGACTGGTTGGCCATGGGGGGGTTCTGTGCCTTAAACGCCATGCCACCTGCTGGCCCCATTAAATGTGTTTAATTTCTTAAAAAAGAATTACTTAATTTTATTTGTATTTGACCAGAGAGGGACAGAGTGCGAGAGAGAGAACCCACCAGCAGGTCCGGGACTCGGACCAGCAGCTGACCATGTGCGAGTCCAGCACCCTAACCACCATGCCACCTGCTGGCCCCAAATTCCTTTCCCCCCAGTGGTCTCCATCTCCCACACAGGGTTTAGGGTATGCGGGCACAAGCGCCTTGCCTGTTTTCAGGCTGCCAGGCTGGTATTTGAAGCATGGCTGGTCACGAGGGACCCGCGGCCTTACCAGGTTATGGGGCGGCCAGCCCTGGGTGTTCATGATTTTTTTAAGCCGCCTGCTGTTTTGCCTGTCTTTACTAACCTTTCCCACTGCCCTCTGGGATTTACACGTACTACATTTCCTGGAAAGGAAGTTGGCCCTCCCAGCCCTCGCATGTTCCTAACTGCACGGGGTACCTGGTGCCCTGCTAAGGAGCAGCCGAGGGTAACTTCTCCACGGGTCAGACCCATGCCCTCCTTTCTCTTTGCCTCCTGCCAGAGGTGCATGTGCGGGCCAGACAGCGAGGGGGAAGCACCTCGCCGGCTGGTGCCCCTCCATCCGTCTGTCAGGACTTGGGGATGCACACATGTGCTGGCGTGGGACTTGAACCGCAGTTGGCCACATGCAATCTGGCTGCCCGAACCACCAGATCCGGGACCCTGCTCTCACAGACGGGGCTCCCGCTGCCCCCAGGGTAGAGTGGGCGGGAGGGACCAGAGCCAGAGCCGACAGGCCACTCCCACCCTAGGAGATCGTCAACTTCAACTGCCGGAAGCTGGTGGCGTCCATGCCGCTGTTCGCCAACGCCGACCCCAACTTCGTGACGTCCATGCTGACCAAGCTCAAGTTCGAGGTCTTCCAGCCCGGGGACTACATCATCCGGGAGGGCACCATCGGCAAGAAGATGTACTTCATCCAGCACGGGGTGGTCAGCGTGCTGACCAAGGGCAGCAAGGAGATGAAGCTGTCTGATGGCTCCTACTTCGGGGGTGAGCTGCGGGGGTGGGGCAGGGCGGGCGCAGGGCGCGGGGCGGGCGCGGGGCGCAGGGCGGGCGCGCATCGGTGAGCTGTGCGGCAGGATGGGGGAGACCCAGGGGGTGAGCGGGGTCGTGGGTGAGCCAGGATGGGGGATGAGCCCGGATGGCCGATGGGATATGAGTCAGGATCGGGGTGATTAGTCAGGGTTGGGGAACAGCCTGGGGGATTGGTCAGAATGGGGGATGAGCCGGGAGGGGGAATGGCCGGGGGG